TTTTCAAAAAACCCCCCCCCCCCCCGCTACAGAAATAAGACAACTAAGAGCACAAATAATAACGATTAAACTAAGTCTGAACCTCATTTCTAGTGGAATCGACCATAACCTCTGTTAGGTTCTTTACTTGGGTAACGACCGCTTTATACTTCTTTTGGAGGTGTAATTTGGGTGTATCAACCGGGCGTGATGACACCTATCTTATCCCACCAAGATATTACAACTTAAATAAGCCTTGACAAGGGTAAATGCGGAAGTAAGAAAAGAATTAAAGAACTAAGCATAATATAAGTATATTGTGGAAGCCATAACATAACAAAATCTTCCCCAAAACCCAGTGTCATGTGTACAAGCCACTAAGTAATACAAATGATTTAAAGAAAACACAAGTATGAATGTCTTGATATCTAGAACAGATTAAATACATAATAAAATAGTAAGTGACATCTACCGGGATGAACAAAAGCTACCCCACGAACTCCAAAACAAGTCTCGAACGATGATGTGCAAGGCTGATCAAAATGATCCGGGCTCGTAACCTACACAAGTGTGGAAAGAATGTCCACATACTACAACCTGCACAACGATCAAAATACAACTCACTTTAGCAACGTAATCATACACTGAACATAACACAATAAAAGCAATTCAACTAATCGGTAACACAATTAGAATTTCAAATAGATCAACTCGACGTTCCAATTCAATATCCCACATTTACAACAAAACACTCATAGAATCAATCAAACAATAATTTGCAATGCTTTTGAAAGCTAAATGTAAAGTAAGATGATGTATGTATGTCCTATCTATACACACCTGATGCATAAGCATCACGAGACCCCTGGGGGACTGAACCATTTCCCATTGGCATAACTCACTCGCCAGAATCATTTTCCATTGGCATAACATTACTTTCAAGAACCATTTTATATCAGCATAACATCACTCACCGGAACCATTTTTGATCGGCATATCAAGGATATAGAGATCATCATAGTTTTCAACAACAGAACAAGAAGACAAGATCAAATGCACAGGATGAGGATGACAATTCTCACTCTAAGAATCAATTATAATAAGTCATCCAAAGGTCACTCAAGGCATATCACACATTAATATTTCAACGAAGACATCTTTATCCCACATGATCATTATTAACATTATAATAACATTTGATATGAATGAAACATACGTTGACCTTCACCATTTCTCATTACTCTCGAACAGACAAATAAGGCATACAAGGTTCAACATACTATACAAAAGGCTAAAGAGGTCCACTTGCCTTTGATGATAGATAAATCAACTCAGTATTTGAGCCTTCTCTTTACGTTGAGCTTCTGAATCCACAAAATCTAATCACATACAGAATTCCCATAAGAATTCATGAACTACAACACTGCTAATGTTGATTTTGAACACCGGGCCTGAACCAACCCATAAAGTCAAATTCGAGGGTTGGGGGTAATTCAGAATACTTATAGAAAATCAAAATACCGAAAGATTTTTTAACTCTTAAGTGAAATCGTAATGAAAAATGATTTGAAATCATTCATAAAATCTCAATTTATTAAAACCCAATTTCAAGAGAAAATCCACAAACTTTGAATTTGAAAACAAGGGTTTATATGTTAAAAATCATAAAACCCAATAGATTTATCTTGAAAACCCTCTTTAAATTCACCTCACTAGTGCTCTCAAGGTCCAACAATGGAGAAATGGGGAAGAAAACATGTTTTGGGGAATTACTGAATTGCCTAGATAATTAATCTTCGCGGATGCGGTCACTACCCCATGAATGCGAAGAGTGACATCTCGTACCATTTACGAACACAAAAACTACCCCGCGAACCCAGACGTCAACACTTCGACCCTTCGTGATCGCGCCCAAATGCGGAGGTCACCACCTCAACCCTCCGCGATCGCAGCCAAGACCTCACGAATTCAAAGGCCAAAACACCAGACCCTTCGCGAACGCGAAGGAGAAACCAAAAAACAGAATACAGTAACACCAAGGTACTAAAAAATCCATTGAATGGACCATCATGATACGTTCAAAATTCCGAGCACACAGATCGAATGTGCTACCCTACTAACTTCAATGTTCTGGTGTCAATGGTACCATCAAAACAATGATTCGAGGTCTCCTTGACCCGCCACCTGTCTAAGCCACAATTAACCAACTTTCACCCAAAAGATCAAAATACCCTCAAAACCTCCATAAAATTAACCAAGGCATTACCTAAGCCTAAAATCAGCTCATGAATTCAACAAAATCGATGTAAATTCAATTTGAGTGTTTGAACTCCAAATGTTGATCATAGTCAAATCTTGATTTGAATTCACTTAATAACTCAATTTATGGGCTCGAATCCACATCAAAACCTTAAAATGAAGAACTACAACACTCCAAAATCAAATATTGCTTCGGGAAATGATGGAACCGACATAATTTCATTTCAAGACTCATTGCTCCGGATGTTGACTAAAGACACTTACAACAACTTAAGAGTCTCCAAAACTTTCCAAAAATTCCAATTTTATTATCTCGCTATGAAACTAACCTCACAAACCGATCAAATAAAACTAGGGGCGACTAACGAGAGGGGTAACACAGTAATTTTCCAAAAATATTCAAAAATGACTTTCAAGGTTATTACAATCAAGTTAGATCTTTTAGGTGCATTATTGAGTTAATTTAGGCATTTTGTAACTTCGTACTCATTAACTACTATTACAGTTAATTTGTAGACAATAAATAATAACTCCTAACAAGTAACAACAAATAGACAAAAATAAAGATGAAACAATATGAAAGTAGACAACAAATATATTGTTGAGAATATAATTAAATAATGAAAACGTGCTCTCTCTAATAGTTTAAACTTTTAGATGAGATTCACACACTTAAATATGATATCTGAGCACGCAAAGGTCCTGAGATCAAATCTCACGCCATCCAAATAATATATATATATATACACGGATAAATAATAAATCTAAAATTCAATATGTCAATAATAACTTTTGTCCATACAAAGTTAAATCCTAAGAAAGTAGAACCCTTCTTTAACATAAAGGTGATATCAAATCAAATATGCAAATAATAAACTTCTTTCCATAACAATGTTAAATCCCAAAGAAGTAGAACATTTATTTAACATAAAGGTGCATAAATCTCTGAAAACAACATTTAAGTAAAATTCTAGAAAAAGAGACTATTTAAAAAAAAAAATTAAACGTGCACAAATATCTAACACATCTTTGAAAAATGAAAATTCTAGGGTTGAAAGACAAGAAAATAGATCTGTGAAAATCGAAAATCGAAAATCAACAATACATGCAATAATCACACTCCAATGAGAACTATAAACTAAAATTGACCATAAACAAGACAAGAAAACGTGAGAGGATGGAAAATATGCGTACCTATGAAGATTTCTAGCGATTTTCTGTTAGGCAAAGATTGAGAAGATAATGAGACCGTAGGGTTTGTAGTGTAAGTCACAATTAATAAAGTGAATGTCTTTTGAGAATTTTAGATTATAATTTGGGTGTGAGTCCTAATTAAGTTACTCGGGTGAAACTTTAATTATATATCGAGATGATTTTTTTTATTATATGTAAAAATTAAATAAATTTTGAGTAGGTCGTTAAGATTATAACACAGGTTCCTTTGTCAGTTCAAAAGATATATACATATCAAAAGTTAGAAGGTAAGATCATGAGTGTCCTAAAAGTATAACAAAGCGTATTTAATTTAGATATCATTAATGATAGTTCCTAGATATATTTATCTTTTTTCTTTAAAAAATTTTATTTTAAGAATAGTTTTGAAATATTTCAAAATTTAATATTTTTATAAATTTTGTGCTTAGTTAAAGTGTGTCGCATAAATTGAAATAGAGAGAGTAATTTTATTTTTCTTGCTTTAGCTACACTCCTCTGATCCCGCCGTTTAATTTGTTTGTTATACTTTTCTTTTAGCAATTCTTTAGTTCATATTTTTTCACATAGCATATCTTATATCATAATATTAAATAATATCTTAAATTTTTTTATTTAAAATAATAAACTTCAAAAATTAAATTAATTTTCTTAAAATCAATATCAAGTTAAAACATGAAAACTAAATTAAAACGGGAAAATAACTTTCATTTGGCTCCATGAAGTTAAAACACGTAACAGTAGTCCCACGAAGCATGTGGCACATATCCATCTTTTCCAAATGAAACGTGGCGACCTATTCAACAAAGTTGTATTTTATCACAAAACTTCAACCGACCTAAGACTTTAGATATATAATGCAAATTACTAATGGATATACTCATTCATAATAATATAGAAAAACCAAATTTACAATACTGTTAGCTAAATATACCAAAAATACAAGATTTAGAAAATTTAGAAAGATGTCAGGGGCACAAGGTGCACAACCTAAGGAATCTTTAACAGCAACAACGTATGAATCAATAGTGAAAGAGGAGAATAGGCCACGAATGGATATTCATTCTCGTGAAGATGAAAAAGGGATTCAAATTGATAAAATTCAAGATAAGGTAGATGATGCTGCTGGCAAAGGTGGTCCCGTTTTCGGGGCTGGTAAAGACGACCACAACAAGAAGGATTTGGGAGTTACAGGCACCGGAGAGTGAAACTATTTATTACTATAACTACTACTTTGTTTGTAAATGGTTTTTTTCTTTAGGGTTCTTTGTTTCTAGTTTTCAAGAATGTTATGTATACCAAGACTCTTATTTAGTTTGTAACTTTGTAATGTCTCTTTCACGGTTTTTAATGTTTTTATTCAATAATTAAGAGCCTTAAGTTGATAGTTGTGAAGCATTTTTTGGAGTGTTTGGTAAATTAAGAAAGTTTTAAGCTAAAATGATGGTAAAAGTAAATTAAATGTAGCAAAATAAGTTAAAATTTCGAAGTTATGTTTGACAAATAACAAAAAAAATTAAGTCGGTAAATACATAAACATGACCGTTAACCTTGGCGCCAGTTGGCAATTATGACCTTTAATGCACAAGTAGGCATTTAAATTTGTATAAAATTGAATAAATAGACACATTCACCCTACATGGTATTCTACATGGCAATTTTGTGTTCTATGTGACATTCTACATATATTATGTCATATAGGATATGTGTGTTCATCCCATATAGGATATGTGTGTTCAGTGTTTTAAAAGGCGGGAGCGTGAGGCGAGGTATTTTACTTAGTTTAGGGTGTTTTACTTAATTTAGGGCGAGGTGTAAGCCTCGAGACGTGGGGCATAAGCCTTATGCATCTTAAATTTTTAATTATAATATAGTATGATAAATATAATAACACAAAATTATAAAAATACATCAAAGTTTGAAATAATTACAAACATGATTAATGAAATTCATAGAAAATAAAACTTATTATACAAGTATAAATAATCTAATATTTTAATTTTTTAATAATAAAAGAATCATTATTTATAAAAATATTTTTTTATCATATTATATAATTCACCCCCTAAAAGAAAATAATAAATAAAATTTATTAGTATTATAATAAAAACATCACGCAATGATGAATAAAAATAAAATTACTTTCAAATAGCTAAATAAAATATGATAACTTTGAGATTTATGACAAAATCATGATTTTTAAAAGAAATGTTACGTAATGTATAATCACCTTCACAATGTTATCCAGTAGAAAAGATGTGATACTACAACTTGTTATTTGAGTTACTCTCAATCTACTTATCTCTATAGATTAAAAAATTATTAAGTACCATTCATTTATTCAAGAATTATGAGGGTCAACAATGTTAATTAAAGATTTTAACGCATAATTTGTCTAATATCTGTTACGCGAGCCCCGAGCATTGTGCATTGGGCGTACAGTCAGGCGCTTAGGGCATAAATCTTATAGAACTAAGTCCACACTTGAGTCTCAAGGTATTTTGCTAGAGTCCCGCCCTACCTTTGCTAGAGTCCCCCCCCAGAGCGAGCCCTGAGGCGAGTCCGAACAGAGTCTTTTAAAACACTGCGTGTGTCTACTTGTTCAATTTTATACAAGTTTAAGTGTCTACTTGTCCAAACTCAAAGTTGGAGGCCATAGTTGTCCATTGAAGCCAACTTAAGGGTCATGTTTATTTATTATGCCTATATTTTTTTAAGGAAAAAGGGTTTGATATACTCCTTAACTTTGTCATTTAGGGTATACTCCTTGTTATGAAAGTGGTTCATATGTTTCCTGCATATACCCTTACTGTAGCAAAAGGAGCTCACATATACCTTTTATCTAACGGAAGTGAAAAAATAGGTTTTAAATTGTAAATTTTAAATAAATTCATGTAGGGGTATATATATAATCATTCTAGCAAAGTTTAAGGCATATTTTAATCTTTTTCGTACAAAAATTATTTTTTGACTTCTTTGATTATCATTATTCAAGTTTCTTATTCGCTTTTTCCCTTTCATTCTTTAGTGTAAAAAAAAAAATTAAACTCTTTTTGTGGCTATATTGTAACTTAGTTTTTGTATTTGTAAAAAAAAATAAATGGGGCATCTATGATAAATTTTACAAGAAAATTAGTGAAACATAAATAAATTTGACCATCAAAATGATAAATTTAAATTAATCGTTGAAACAAAAAAGTCAAAAAAAATATGTATGAGGAGGGATCAAATATATCCCATATGGATTATATTTTTTTTAAAAAGTAAAAATAAAATTAATTTTTTCACAGAGAAAGAGGGTATATGTGGAGCTATTTGTATAGCAATGGGGGTATATATGAATCACTTTCATAACGAGGGGTATATCAGGTCTAAATGACAAAGTTGAGGGTATATAAAACCTTTTTTCCCTTTTTTAAAATTTATATTACTATCATAGTGGGTAGGGGTAAGGATAGGAAAAAGAATTATTTTATTACCTATTTTGAATTTTGAGTACACAAAAAAAATACTAATAAATTATCTTTTAATGTCGTTATTTTCCTCTCTTTTTTTGGTCTCTTGTATATCGTAAGTTTAAAAAATTCAAAATATAAATTAAAGGATAAGACCCAAGAAGAAGAAAAGTAAAAGAGAGCCAGGCCGGGGCTGGGGCCGGGGCCGGGGCCGGGGGGAGTTAATTTTACTATGAAACCCAAAATATAATTAATTATATGCGCTCATATATTAAATAATTTCAAATTATTTTAATGAAAAAGAGCTTAAAATATATGTAAACTATGAAATTTGATATAATATTGTCTTCTCATGAGTATGAGCCATTAGAAATAAGAAAATTTTCAAACAAAAAATTTAACGATAGAAGTACTTCAGAATCAAAAGATGGATAAAAAGTAATTTTATACCAATTTAAATAACTAAAACACATTTTAGATCATTCTCCGTAAAAAAATAATCTAGTTCATTTGCTATTCACGCCTTACAAAATTTAACAGTTTCGTACATGTAATTCATTTTCTCTTCATGCCAATTAGAAATTTAATAAAAAAAAATTGGGGCGTGAATTCACAAAGTAGTTGGCATAATATTATTAGAATAGAACGTAATAATAGTTAAAATGTGATGTTCATACATATAATGGTGAGAGAAAGAAGTAAATTCTAGGGGTGTGTTTGGTAGGAAGGAAAATGTTTTTCTAAAAAATGTTCTTTTGAAAAACAACTGGAATTCTAACTTATTTTTGAATGTTTGGTTTTTGGTTGGTGAATGAAAAATATTTTTTGGAAAATATCTTTCATTTTTGACTTGAGACTAAAAAATAATCTTTAGAAAAATAATTTCTGATCCGCAAATCAATCTCGATAATTGATCTACGATTCGACCCCGACACTCAAACTAGGACGAGATCCCAATGACCGTTCCAAAATCCGACCCTGAGATTTGACCCAGGACCTGACCTAGGGATTTTATTTTTTTTTCAAAAATATTTTTTTTTTTTAAAATAAAATTGATGGGGTCTCGAGGAGAGGGGGGGGGGGTGAGGGGATAAAAATGATTTTTAAAAAAAATTGAAATACTTCTCAAAAACAATTTTTTTAAAAACTTTTTTTTTTATGGGGGTGGCGCGGCGGCAGGGTTTGCGTGAAAAATGATTTTTTAAAAATAATTTTCAAAAATAATGTTTTCTTAAAAAAAAATTGACGAGAATGGCCTGGGTTGGGGTGGTAGGGGTGACATATAAATGGAAAAATTTGAAAATTTGAAATATATTTGAAATTTAAATTAAGAAAATTTAAAAAGTTTAATTTTATTTTTTTTGAATGGGGAGGGTCAGGAACGGAGTATGGATAAGGTAAGAAAAAAAAATTAAAGAATGAAGTACAGTTTTGAAAAATATTTTCCTTAATTTTGGAAGAGAAGTCATTTTCCTTAAATTTAAGGAAAACAAGTTGATTTGAAAAATATTTTCCAAACATGGAAAAATTGGAAAACATTTTCCAAAAAATATTTTCCTCCATTCCAAACACAGCATAGAAGTAATTTGTTTTTACTCTGCTCTGTACTCCTATTATATTCTGGCTTCTTCTAAAAAGTGACTAGGTAAATGTATATTTATAAAAAAAGTCAATCAACAGACTGTGGTTCACAGCCGTAGGTGTCATCTTTAGATTCTGAAATTCCTCTAAGTCTGGGGTTGAACCACGGGACCCCACATACGGTCCGTGGTTCTACCTACAGTCCGTGGATGATTTCAATTGGTTCCGACACCAGATTCTGGAAAGCTGCACTTTTCTATTATCTCAAGTTCGAGGTGTTACATTATCTCCCCCTTAGAAACATTTGTCCTCGAATGAAGTCTAAACAAGCTGAGTATGGAGGGAAGGAGCTGCAATCCCTACCACTAAGTACTAGAAACTAATATCTGACTAATATGAGTAACATGAACACGCAAAGAGGCTGAAATGCAAGGATAACTGAGGGAACAAGATGTTGAGACTGAATTACACAAGAGTAAACTGAAAGACTGGAGAGGAGCTATTACCTCAAGCTGAAACGAAATCGGAAGGAAAGAGGTGAGGATACTTGGCTATTATGGCTGCTTCACCTACTTCAAACCAACCAATCGGGGACCTGCATCTACGCCCATATAGTGCCTCATACGGGGCCATCTGAATACTGGAATGGAAGTTATCATTACAAACGAACTCTATGAGAGGTCGGTGATCATCCCAACTACCCTTGAAATCGATCACGCAAGCTGTCAACATGTCCTCTAAGGTCTGAATGGTACGTTCTGCCTGACCATCCGTCTGTGGATGAAATGTTGTACTGAGATTTACCAAGAAGTGAGCGGACTTAGTGACTCTGTCTACTATCACCCAGATGGAGTAATGTTGTCTGCGAGTACGAGGTAAACCCGTAATGAAGTCCATGTTTATCACTTCCCACTTCCATGTAGGAATGCTAATCTCTTGAGTCATACCTCCTGGTTTCTGATGTTCAACCTTCACCTGTTGACAGTTAGGACACTTAGCCACAAAGTCTGCTATGTCCCTATTCATGCCGCTCCACCAAAAGACTTCTCGTAGATCACGGTACATCTTAGTGGCACCTGGATGAATAGAATATCTGGAATTATGGGCTTCTGTAATGATCTGTTGCCTCAACTCACCCACATTAGGAACACATAAGCGACCCTTGTAACGAAGCACACCATCTCCCCCGGGAGAAAACCTCAACTTTCTGCTGATGAACTGCACCTTTCAGCTGAAGTAATATAGGATCACTATCCTGTTTTTCCTTAACCTCCGCTACCAATG